GAGCTGTACTCTGTAAATAGGGTTGTTTGTGTGAAAACTGGTGATGGCTCCTGTAGCTATAATGGTTGTGTCAAGCAGAACAAATACCAGGTGCCGTAGGCTAGAGGAAGGAACTGTCTAGAGCAGGGGTAGGCAACCTTTCCCCTTTAAGGGCCGAGGGACTTCAGCTCCCAGAAGCCTCAGCCATGTTGGCCAATAGTCCCATGTTGGCCAATAAGCTCCTGGGATTCTGGGAGCTAAAGTCCCTCGGCCCTTAAAGGGGAAAGGTTGCCTACCCCTGGTCTAGAGGAAGGTGCTGTAGGCTAGGGGAAAGCCACCTCTAAGTATTTGTTGCCTAAGAAAATTCTATGAAATTCATGAGGTCACCATACATTGACTTGCAACTTGAAGGCATACACACACACTCACTCACACACACATATAGAGGAGGGAAGTTCAGCAGGTTTATTAACTTTGCTTGTTAACTGGTTGTATGACAAGCAACGCTTGCTGAAATTCCCTCTTCTGTCCAGCCATTAACTAGAGAGGGTACAGAGCCCTCTCTAGTTTTCAGTTTGGCAAGTTGGAAGGCATCAGGTCAATCCAAAAATATTAAACCTATTTGCTGTTTTGATGAAAAGATCTATCTGGAGGAACTAATAGTTCAGTGCCTCTAAGCATGTGGTGGTAGCAGGATTTTGTAGGAATGTAGCATAAAGAACCCACATGCTTATACTTTTGTGTTGTTGGATTCTGAAGAGAATAAGATACAAGTAAAGATAGTCCTTGATGAGTCATTGTATTGTTGATGAATCACTGATATATTGTTGCAGCAATTATATAATGATGGGTTATGGAAAAAGACATTGTTCTTCAGTCTTTTGGTAATAGCTGTATTTCCAGTCTTACCCATCAGGAATAATTTCCTGCTAAAAGGGTGTAGGTTGTTTTGTATGTATTCAAAGGCAGCTGATTACTTTTATAGAAGCAGACTGTATGACTCACTCACTTTTCTTTTACCACTGGAAGAAACTCTTAACTTTCTTTTCCTTTCCCTTTCCTACGTCCCATTCACAGTAGTGTTTTTGTGCCAGGTAGATCATGGGAGATTCAATGATCAATACCAAATCTGATCCGAATCGAAGTTTACACTATGGACCTTATCACACGGGGTCTAAAGCAGACCTAATCCAA